CTTTGTCTTTCGCAGGACGTCCATTCAAATCTCTCTTCCTTTCGCGGACAAGAGATTTCGCACTTTCTTCCCTATTCTTTCTCGACGACGCGAGAACCAGACTTTTGGGGTAGTCACGTTTTGCATTTTTTTTTTTTCCCTCAATAGATTCGATTCTCTCAATTTGTAATACAAATTATTCAATCTATCTGTATCTTTCCTTCCGCAAGTCATTGGATTCAGATTGAAATAGTGAATAAAATTAGCATATTTTTTTAATTGTAAGTGTATTTTTAAAAAATTGTAATTTTGTTTTGATTTTTTCATTTTTGGTTAAATATTTTATTTTTCTGTATATTTTTAATAATATCATGAATTATAATAAAGCAATATTGTTTTCTAAAAATTAAATTTTTAGAAATATATAAAATAAAAAATATAAGCTCAAAATCAGAAAAAAATAATTTTGTCCTAAGTTAGCCCCTATTACTCGAACCACTGTGCAACGCGAACCATTATTACTTCGAGAGTTCGAATCACAAATATTTCTATATTTGTATATTTTTTATACAATTTTATTTTATATATATTTAGTCGTATTTTTATGTTATACACATTTCTGAATGAAATAAAAAATTATAATAAAAAGCGAGTATTGGTTTTTTGAAAATTAAATCTCCATATATATATAAGCTCAAAACCTGGAAAAAAATAATTTTGGTCCAGTTTCTATATATTCGAACCATTGTGAGAAATTTGGCAATAAACTGGTTCAACAATCCGCTCTTTCAAGATTCACGAATCGATTCGATGCGATTCAATCACGAAAATATATGCATGTACTAAAACTACGTGTAAAAATTCGATCCGCATCTTTACACTATGGGATATGTGTAATAAGTATATGCGTGACATAAATCATCTTTCATACGAAGAAGACCACTCGTTGTAAATGAATTTGAAATTCGCTTAATCCGCGGCCCCGTGGTGTTCCGCGCGTTAAATCATTTTGTCGGAAATACAAGGCGCGAGGAAAGGACGAGAGAGATTAACAAGGCGTTAGTTGGCATTACAGCTGCGAAATCTAAAGATATACCTTGAAATTCAAGGTAAGCTTCAATAATAGCGGAGATACAGGATCTTCTGGTTCGTTCAAGGACGTTTCTTCCCCCTAGTAACCTATTAACTTATATCCGCGTGTAAGTAAAGAGGAAAACCTAAGTAAACGTGCACAACATTTTCCGTTATCGCCCATTCCCTAAGAGAGAGATATTACACTCGCCTTCCACGATTCAATCCGCGAGACGAATTAGAAAAAATCCGTTATCGAGAAGAAGTCGCTCGTTTTAATTGGTAAAAACGACACGTTTACCGTGTCAAGACTCGGTTAAAGGACGAATAAAACAAGTAGCGAAGCGAAGCTGTGTTCTCGAGTCACACCGAGTCACCTGCCCTCGTATAAAACCAGTTCACCTATACGATATTTTGCTCCGGCGAAAGATCGATTACCTCGCACGCGCGGAACGGATTATGCGATCCGATTTTTATATCGATTTTAATTATCGATGTCACAGTGGACGATGTTCGAGTACCGACAAGGTAACGGCAATTGTACACGCGCGCTTCTCACACACGTCATTATGTTTACCAATTTATGTTTGCAACTTTGCCCGCATCGCGATATCGGTTCGAAACAATGGAGTGGAAGAAGAAAAGAAAAAAGGAAAAAAAAAAAAGTATCCACTTCGATTCGATTCCGTTGAAATAAGGATGATTATTTTTTTTCAGGAAGCGATGTGTAATATCGGGAGAGAGAGGTGACAGAGTACATGGAAGGTTGGCGAAGACGCGAGCAGGAAGAGAGTAGAGGGGATGGTTGGCGCGTGGCTCGATTCCTCTTCCCCACCTCTCGTGGTCGAGAGCCACCGACGATCCGAAACTCGCGCGCGGCCGTCCAGAGAGCGAGGCAGATGCCAAGGTACTTCTTTCGGGTCTGGCTCTTAACCGAGGCGGTATTAAAGGTAGGAGAGAAGCCGACACCACCGAGAAAGGCTGTAAGAGGCAAGCACCTGCCGTAAGCGCATGGTGTCGGGTCACTCGGCTCCTCGAACAC